TTTTCTTTTTCTTTGTCATTCTCTGGAACAGCTCGGTGTGAGTTGCATTTCATCGGGGGCTTTTGAGATGTGGGCAGGAGTGTGAGTGCTCTCCACCCATCTAAAACCTCATAACTGGGATGTTTCTCTCGTGGCTGTTTAGGTGTTTATCAGTTTAATAATGAAATAAATTGATTTGAAAGGAACCTTCAAGACTCTCTTGTTCCACACCTTCCCTAGACCAGGTTGCTCCAGGTATAGGATCTCCAGCACAAAGATGCCAAGTTTTGTTTTCTGGGAAGCAGCAGTGACTGGAAGTTCAAAGCAAACACCTTGATAGCTTCAGGTGGGTGTGAGTTTTTGGTCATTTTAAAATTCAGGGCTAATTCAAATAACCTCCAAGTCTCATGTTTCACTATTCTCTTTCCTGCCAATTTGGAACCAATTATAATGTATCACCTTTCAGGAAGATCACCAGCTTATTTGGAGCTGTTAAGATAAGGTGTCTGAGGTTTAATTGGCTTGTAATGATGAAAGAACCACGAACTGTCTGGGAATGAGGAAGAGAACAAGGAAATGGGATTTGAGTCTGGGGGGGCAAATGCAGGGCTGCCAAAGGCAAGGGAGCAGGGTGAGGGCTGGATGCTGGTGTGGGACCAGCCTGCCAAAAAAGCTGCCTTGGTTTCCAAGGATGGTTTGCATGAGAGGCAGGGGAGCCCTGGGTGCTGGAAGGGGTTCCTGGGGCAGCTCCTGCTCAGGGGCTCCTCTGTCGGGGCTGTGCTCTGTGCTCGACTCCTGCTGATGCCTTGTGCAGGCTGAGCTCAAACAGAGACTGTACAGAGCTAAAGAATAAAGCAGGGGTTTATTAGGAGGCCTCAATGGATTCACCTTGGGCAGCACAAGAGCCAGGGCTGCACCCAAGATGAACCAAAATGGTCACAAAATGCACGACTGGGCACAGGGTCTCACACTTTGATCAGTTCAGCTCCATTTGCATATTGGAGTTATTTGTCCCATTCCAGCTTTAGCCCATGCAGTCCCATCCTGATTGTTTTTCTCTCTCCAGCCCACGTTGTTTGTGCTCTTGGTGCTGAGATTTGGATCATTGGTCCTTGGTCTCCAGCTAGAGAATGTTGTTTTGTCTCCCTACTCTGTGAAGAGAGCTCACTGTCCCCTAATATGAAGCTCAGAAGTTCACACTAAAGCAGCACAGAATCTGAAAAATACAAAAGCTAAAACCTGAGGCATCAGGGCCATCAGGCCACGTCCTGTGGTGCTCCTGCCCTGCTCCCATGGCCCAGCTCTGGGTGGGAGTTCCACTCTGCCCTCCTGACAAGCCAGAAGAGACCACGGTGTCCGTCCCCACGTGCCAGCTCAGCTTCCCACATCACTCCTTTGCTGGTAGCTGGGAAAGCTGTTTGAGCTTTTAACTTGCTCATCACCCTGAGCCCTCAGTGCAGCTCAGCCCCTCGTGTCTGGGTGAGGAGTCCCAGCACATTCCCAGTGGGAAGCGAGCCAGGACGGTCTCTGGGTCCAGCTTTAAGTGTTCCATGTGGGCTCCAACCCATGCCCTTGGTGTGACCAGCACCTGCTCTGGCAGCTGAGCTGATCTCAGTGCATTTGCCATAAGATGAAGAAAACACATTAAAAAGTCCTGCATTTTCCCTAAAATGAACAAAATACATTAAAAAGTCCCTGAAGCACTGGAGTTTTTTTTCCCTCTGTTCAGGCTTGAGGACAAAAGCAGAGAGCAGTGCAAGAGACTGACCTGGTTGCTGTTCAATTCCTGTTGAACAGAAAGGTGCTGATATTTCTTTTGGAGTCTATTTTAGAGTCTCCCCACTGTTTATGCAGGTAGGATTTTTTCTTCTCCAGCTAAACTGTTTTCCCATGACTGTGATTGCTTTTTAATTGGGCTGCAGCTGGTGCTGGATTTGTGCTGAGTTGGAGACTGAATTACATCTTTGGAAATAGCATTTTTTTGGCGATTTTTTTTCTTTTTTCCTTTCAAAATTCAGTCAGGATGGCTGGGCTTCTTGCTTGAGGGTACCAAGAGCTCTGCCCTTGCTTCTGGCTGACAACCCCCAGTATTTGGGGCTGCAGAGCTGTGCCATGGAGTTGGTGGCAGCAGCCTTGGCCGTGTCCTGTGGGCTCTGTTCAGCTCCCATCACTCCTGGCCGCAGATCTGAGCAGGTTTTTCAGCTCAACAACCCCCAAGGGAGGCATGGTTTGACACCAAGCAGGACATTTCATGATAATTCAGCTCCTCTTCTGTAAACCCACTTGATTTGTTAGCTCCAAAACAAAGGATGCTGCTCCTGATGGACACGTGCAGGAGGTGCTCATGAGGGAGAGGTGGGAACGGCAAAGTCTGGTTTTTCAAACTAGACACCCTCCAGCTAAAAATCCACTTGATGGATGTGTGTTTCATTGAGCTACTTAGTGTAGAGCAGCTTGTTATTGTCTTTTCAACTGTGCAAATTTGAATAGAGACAGTGCTAATGACGAATCATTATTATACTATAAATAAAACATTATCCAGATTATGCTGGTCAACAGAGCATAAAACAAATAGCGAATTCTAATGTCCTTGAATTACAACTTAAAAAGAAAAGCAGCACAGGATGCTGATCTGCATGGAAGCTTGGTTGCTGTGAGAGTTTTTCCAGTTGTATCAGGATCATCCAGGGGTTCGCTCGTTTGCAGATTCACCCTAAAAAGTAATCTCAGAAATCTGAAGGTCCAGAGGACAAAATTCTTCAGGGGGAAGAGAAGAGAAAAACCCCAAGTTGTTACTTCCTTCCTTAGATTGGAATGATTAAAAAAACATGGATGTGCATGGTTCCTGCAGCTCTGCACAGAGTGCTGGCTAAAGAAAAGCTGAGGCTTTATATGTTTGTCATGAAAAAGCTTTTTTTGGAAATTTTTAATGTTCTCCCCATTGGGTGGGGAGAACAATAAGAAAGGTATTTAGCAAGAAGTTTATATATTTAATATGAACTCCCCAGGAGAGTGGTCACAGCCCCAAACCTGCCAGAGTTCAGGAAGTGCTTCAGGCACAAGGGGGGATTTTTGGGGTGTCCTGTGCAGGGCCAGGAGCTGGACTCAATGATCCCTGTGGGACCTTTCCACCTCAGGATATTCCATGATTCTGTGACATTTTCACTGATATAAATGTATGCTATGATAGTTTTATATGATATAAATCTGTCCTGTGGAGATTGGGATTAAATAAAGGCTGTATATTAAAAACTTCTAGATTAAGTTGCTGCAGTCATAAATTGTCATTGCCCACTCAAGACACTTTTTAAATATGGTGTTTAATCACTCAAGTTTCAAAATCCTTTGAATAAGACCCATAATAGCAACATTTTGAAACTTGTCTGAAACAGTCACCTGCTACACAGGAAAATGTTTTTAAAAACACTTGCCTGTTCTGTGTGAAATGAAATCACATTTATTTTTGTTTACATGGGCAGCATGACATCTGACCTAATCAAGCCTGTCATCATTGCATTGTATTTTGCTTACCCTGCTGGGTGTCAATAATTTCTTCTCAAGCACATTTTGACTGCAGTAAGAATGAAACTGCCTTTTTTTTTTTTTTTTTTTGTTTTTGCTGTGATGTTTTCAAAATTAACCTGAAAGGAAAACCCACCACTGCTTTTAGGCTGATTCATAGATTATTGTGGTTGGAAGAAGAGTGGTGGGGGCTTGTTGGGCGTGATGGGTTTGGTACCACAGCTCCCTCCCTCTTCTCCAGGCTGCTTCCCTGTGCCAGGGCTCCATGGAGGAGACTGGGGTGAGATTTTCTCCCATTCCTCAGCCTGGAAACAGCCTGGGAAGTGCCACAGCCAGGGAGGAGGAGAATCCAGCTGCCCTTTTGATGAGGAACTGAGCAAGGGCTGAATCAGCAGCGAGCTGCCTTCTCTCCCAGCCTGTTCCTGCTTGGGAATGTTGTCCAATTTAAACTTTCCCCTTCATTTTAATGTACCTGGTGCAATTATTGAACAGTTAAGGGTTGTCTTAGTCAAAACATGTGCTTCATTTCTCAAGTCTCATGGAATGCTGCTGAACCTACTCTGCCTGGGCTTGTGCACAGTTCACTATAGCACACATTGAAATATCTCCTAGAAAAACAAATTCCAGCTGGGCAAAAGTGTTCAGAGAGAAGATATGTTGAGATGTGAGATGTTGCTGTGGCTTAGTTTTTTGCTTTGTCCCTTCATACATACAACATTTAAAACCAAACATCAAACGGGCCACAAGCAAGTGCCAGATTTAATAAACTCTCTTTATTTACATACAAATACATGTACACATATGTTCTGTATATGTACACATATTTAAGTGTATATACATACATGGTTTCCACATACTCTACAATAAATAGCATGTAGGGTTTTCTTTTAATTGCCTACAGTGCCGAGTAAAAATACATGGCAATAAAATCATGGTTTACAGCTAAGTTACAAAAGCACCAAGCACTGAACTCGTAGCAATAAATCCAAGCTCATGTACAGCTGGGGCGAGGACACGCTATACAGAATACAAAGAGACCAACTTGTAGGAATTGACAGGATTAGGCAAACTAAAAAACATCATTATAGACCAGGAGAGACTCTGTATGAAATAAGATGAAGGAAAACATTTAGATTATTGATCAAACTAAACCACACATTTAAATTTGTCACCTAAAGAGAAAAACAAATCACCCAGTTACTCGTATATTTTTAACAGAGTAATTTTTTTGTGTGAGTCTTTACCAAGGAAATCAGAATTAATCTCATGAGTGAGTCCTTCTGAGCTGCCACAGTCACTTGTGTGTGTGCACATCACCAAACAGTATTTCAATAGTGCTTTATTTAAGCTGTGTGTAACTCCTTGAACCCTGTGTGCGAGCCTGACTGAGGCAATCAGCACTTCCCCAGCCAGCTCCTTCCACAGGACCCGTGACACTGAGCTGTCACCAAGGAGCAGCAGAGCAAACTGGCAGCAGCAGCAGCAGATCAATGCCCAGAGCAAGCACAGGGGTGATGCTGGAGCTGCATGGCCAGAGCCAGCCATGGAGCACAGCTGGTGGAGCACAGCCACAGCTGGACCCTCCCTTGCTGCAGCTGCAGTGCAGGGAGCTGCTGCTGCTCTAGGGGAAAGCCTGGCTGGGTATTTATATTAAAATTTCAAACCTGCTTTATGAGGTGAAGGTGCATAGATTTTTGTTGTTCTCTCTCTTTGTCATGGCTGATACTTTGACTTGAGGTGTGCAGTGCCGTGCTAAGGGAACAACTGGTGCCAAGAAGGAGAAAGCTGCTGGTTCAGGTATCATCCTTGTGCTGTGATGTGTTTTCCTTGCTGCACTTCAATGCTCAGGGGCTGGATAGCAAAATAATTGTTTCCTTTTCCTGGAAGCCAGCCCCTGGTACAGTTCAGAGAATCACAGAATGGTTTGGGTTGGAACGAATCTTAAGGATCATCCAGTTCCAACCCCCTGCCATGGGCAGGGGCACCTTCCACTAGACCAGGTGGACTTAAACAGAGATTATCTTTCCTCTAGGTATTTATAGATTCTCTGTTGCTGCAAAACTAACACTGGGGTGTGTGTGCTTGTGTGAATGTGTGAGAGGAATCAAACCCAATGGTGGGCACAGGAGGAAGGAATGTATACCACATGTGCACACCTGTGGGGTCTAATAAACTGAAGCTCATCAAGGTCTAATTACATCATTGCATATCCATGGGTAGGAAGTCTGAAGGAAGAACTACTCACTCTTCACTTCAATGAACACCTACAGCTACTACAACTCATAAAAATGCAGATTTCTCTCCTTTTTTATCAAAGAATTAGCACTTCCTCTTAGTATTTGGACTTGACTACTTGAGCCCTCTGTGTAACATTCTTTATGAAAGCAGTGGGAGAGCTGTTTATTTGAAGTTTGGGTACGAGCAGCTTTGAGGCTGCTCCATCACTTGTTCATTCTATTGTCACCTAAAGTTCCCAATGAGAAACAGGACCTGCTAAGCGCTGTCCAATTCAAGTAAAACACAACCTCTCTGCCGTGGAGTTGCACAAAAAAAGTGATTTTTAAGATCAGAGTTCATTCCAGACATAATTTAGTTTGATTCTTGCCACGTGCCTGCCTGGCAGTTCCCTTACGGACGATGAGAGAGCTGAAACGCGACGGCCTCAAAGGAAAACGATCGTTACATAAACAGCTGGATTAGTTACGATACAGCACGAACACAGCTACGGTTTTTAGAGACTTTTTAACCTGATAGGAAACCACATTCCTCCCCAGAGGGCTGATGGGAATGCTCGTTTCTGTGGGACGGGGATCCCCAGGCCGGCTCAGCCGGAGGACAGGTAGGGCGTCTCGCTGTGGTAGTTGTAGTCGGGACAGACCTTCTGCACCAGTTTGTAATCTACGCTGTAGAACGCGATGTAAATGCAGATGACTTTGAAGGGTTTGGAGCACAACCAGGAGACATGGCTTTGGGTCTGCTCTTGGTAGCAGATCTTGGAAGGGTCAAAGTTGCACAGGGCAGTTTTTTTGGCGCGGTCTGTTTTCTCGTACTCGATGCGGCAGTTGAAGGACTTGGACTCCTTGGTCTCCAGCGTGGACTGTGGAGACGGCTCAAACTCCACCACCTTGGAGGGCGGCACCAGGCTGACAGAAACATTCCCCAGGCCCGTGGAGTTGTGTCGGAAATAAACGCTGAAGGTTCCGTTGCCGTGATCGACGATTTTCCCCGTGATCAGCAGGTTCAGCTTTACAGTTTTGATGTTGGAGTGGAAGTCACCCCACCCAAACATTTTCTTGAATTTCCCAGTTTTCACTATAGGTCTGCGTTTAGTTCGTGCCAGAGATTCCTGAACCTCCGTGATGTTGGACAACCAATCCCAAAAGTTTTCTATGCTGTCCGAGTAGGACACCTGGCCGTGTTTCAGCACTGGGGATGGTTTGACAAAGAGCCGTAGGGGGTTGATGATCCTGGAGTGGACCACGTTGTCAACCAGTGTCTCTGCAGCATCCTTGTCCTCCCAGTCCAGCACCTCCGCGGCCTGCACCACCCGGCCGGTGTCACAGAACACCTGCTCCAAACAGAGACAGAGAGCAGGGTCAAGGCGGGGATGAAACAGCCAAGACACAGAAGGAGACATTGATATTTAATTTTATACTCATAGGACCTGAATCGGTCACCTGGACCACTGTAATGAGGAATTTCTACTGCTCTATGAGAGTTCAAGGATTTAACTTAGAATAGCTTATGGAAGATGTAAAAATCTCAATAGGAAACATCCATGGGGACTCTTGTCCAACCTTTGGACAGGATGATGGCTGTGATGTGCAAGAGCAGGTGCCTCATCCTCACAGATTCGTTAGATGAATACACTGACTGGGGAAAGTGGAAATCCTGAAGATCCCTCTGCTAAAAGTTGGAGTGAAATAGAACAGCACAAATTTCCACTCCCTTCCTTTTTCCCCCCACAACCTTCCAGCAGGTTTAGGCTTAAAATCCTGTTCTGTTGGTGCAAGTGTCTCCTAAACCATGTATTGTACATTTATCTTTTCTGGTGCTGCTTTTTCCATTTGATCCAAACCTAGTTTGCACGTCTGTGCCCCTAATTTGACACAGTGACCATGGCCCTGTTTTGGTGTGCTGGTTTCAGCTGCACAGCTGCCTGTGCTTAGCAAGGCCCAGCCTTCCAGCAGTGCTGAGCACTCCCAAACACACAGCACAGCTCAGTTTTGAGATCCATGACAAGGCCAAGCTGAGTCTGCAATCAGAAAGCAAAACCTCCTTCTGGTAGTGACAGAATGGCCTTAAGGTTTCAGAGTCAAACACACAGGTCTCAGTAAAATTTCCAACTCAGTGCAGACACACATTTCCCAGGTGTTTCCCTGCTCTCTCTGTCAGAGGAGTCCTGTTGTAAATGCAGAACTCCAGTGTATGATCCAAAGGTCAGAAGGAAGATCTGTGTTTCAACAGGATAGAAATGATCATCTGACTTTTTAAGTCCTTTAAATCCTGAGTAAATCTTTGGGGAAGCTTTTTGTAGAATGCCTTTGGAAAAGGTGTTTTTAGGGCCTGTTCTGTTTAGAACTGCCTTACAGAGTCATCCTAATGTGCAAAAGAAAAACTTTTTCAGCTGCATCTATTTCTACAAAATGTGTGAACAGAACAAAGAGATGTTTAAAATGGGAAGAAGAAAGGGCCCTGTTGTCCTGCCTGTGTCCCCAGTGACAAACTGCTGCTGGCCAAATGCTGCTCTTGCTTCATCGCTGATCCCACAGTGCCAGGATCCAGATGGATCCCAGTATAACTAATGCAGGGATGGGGTTTTCACTCTCCAGCAGCAACATTACAGGGTGGAAGTTTGCCTAAAGCAGCCAAAGTACGAGGTGCAGATGTGGAATGTGTGGGATGGAATTTTGTGCTTCGTGTCTCACGAGGGAAACCTCAGTGCTGGGCTTGCTTTTCCCTCTGCTCCTGATCCCAAAGGGTCTCCTGCACCTCTGGTTCCTCACAGGGCTCTGTTTTTACAATATCCAGCTGTTATTTCTATAAATTGCAATTTTTCATTTCATCATCTGGTGAAGATTAGAAACTCCAAAGCCCTTAATCTTCAGTGGGGCCTGTTCTGCAGCAATAGGCTCCAAACCAGAGCCCAAACCCACTACCACGTGTCCTTCCTGATCACCCCTAATGCAGTGATTGTGAAATGTGGAACAGCAGCAACATTCACAGCTTGAATGTTGAAAGGTGACCATCATTATTGCTAAATCATAAAATCACAGAATGGTCTGGGCTGGAAGGGATCTTAAAGATCATTCAGTTCCAAACCCCACCTTCCAGCCTGCCTTGAACAATTTCAGGAACCTGTTCCAGTGCCTCATCGCCCTCACAGTAAAGAATTTCTTCCTAATAACTAATCTAAAGCTCCTTCAGCTTAAGGCCATTCCACTTGTCCTATCACTTATTTTTCACTAGAAATAAATCCACGGCTGGGTGGAAATGCAGTGGGCCAGGTGTGTCTCTGCAAAAATACCTTATTTCCTTCTTCAGATTAAAAGTGGAGGAAGAAAAGGCAACAGTGATCACTCTCAGCCCCAGACCTTGTATGTCAACTTTCTGCCTCTATCTTATATTTTTTTTTATGGCTGAGCTAGGAACCCGAGGAAATAGGAGATTCTAATGGAAACAGTGACAGATGCTGATCTGTACCAGCCCAAATAGCACTGTCATAATGATGCTGGGGAAACATCACTTGTGCTGTGATGGAAAGTTCCTGGTGAAGCTCTGTCATGTTTATGAGTGGCTCTTCAGCCACTGCTAAGCCTGTCAGCAGCCCAGGATCAGCTGTGTGATGCTGAGAACCCTGGCCATCCCCACTGGCAGGGAAATCACTCCCCTGCTGCAGAGAATGACTCTGCTCACATGAAGGAAGCAGTGCTGCACACATTCACTCATCCCCAACCTGACCTGGGGCCTTGAGAAGCACAAAAAAGAGACTTTTCTGCTGCTTTTTTAGATTACAGCTGGGCCCAGGGGCCTGGCAGTGCTGGAACACCAGAAACTTTGCTCATTTGCACAGCTAAATGAAATGCAATTTAAAATGCTAATGACCACTCAAACCATGGGCACCTACAGCTGGTATTGCTGTTAGCCGCTGAGTCAGAGGGAAAAGGGCTTGGATATTTTCAGGTGAAATTCATGGAAAGGAAGCTGTTTGGTTCACAGGGGATTCTGGCTTTGCTGGTGCCTGCACCCAGCTCTGAGTGTCCTCTGGCAAGGCCACAGGAACACCCTCAAACATCCTTCAGGGCTGCTTGTCTTCTGCAGTGCTCATTGAAACCCTGCAATGGCTCTTTGGCTTCTCTGCCCTGGCCTTTTATGAGGAGATGCAGAGGACATTGAGCCATGAGCTCGGTGTATGTCTCTTCTGGGGGCTCTCACACCAGATGAGATGGCAGAGTGCTGCTTTCCCAGGGGTGCCTTGCTGAAGGCTCTGATAGGAAAGAAGAAATATGTGGGTATAGGGCTGGGGATGGCTGAAGGGTGGGAAACATTAACACATGCTAAAGCCAGGCAGGTTTGCCACATCAATAACGTATCAGGGCACAAGTATTTCAAGACCATGATGGTGAAATCACAGAATTGCACCTTGCTAGACTACTGCTACTTTTATTTATGTAGTTGTTACACCAAATGAGGCTTACTCATGGGGTAACGAAACACAGCCCTGAAGCTGCAGTGACCTGGGCTATTTCATGTGGTAACAGAACAGCTTTCACAACACAGGAACGTGAAATCATTGATAAATTGAATTATAGGTAAGTAATACCCCTGTTTCAGGCCCAGACAGCAATGCCTAGGCTCTGCAGAAAGCTGTACCTCACAGCTTGAGCTTACTCAAGCTTACTTTGCTTGAGTATTTTTTCCTCCTGTTTTTTGAAGTATTTTGCAAGGCTGTGGGATTCTCCAGTCTTGCACAGCCTTAATTCTTGCCTCTGCTCCATCCTAGTGCTGTCTTGTTCCACTAATTTCATTAGAGGGGTGAGATTCAGGAGCTGACAGAATTTCTGCCAGCTCAGAGGGCTGCAGGGAAGCCCTCATGGCTCAGGGGGGTAAATTGGTTGTGTTTTGCAAATATTCAGTTAAAAAAGGAGCTTAACAAAGAACTGCCTGGTTCTGCTCAGTGCCTGCCTCAGCAGCAGGAACGAGGGGACACTGCTCAGAGATGTGAATGGTGTTTGTGCTTTTGTAATGTAAAACCTTTGTGGACTGCAGATTTTTTTTTCCTGTTTTGAATAAAGCTTTCTGCAGAATAAGAGAACCCAACTCTAACACTTGTTTTTTCCCAAGGCCCTTCCCTCACTGGCTGCATTTTGCTGTTAGTGAGGAAGGGCCCATGGCTTTGTTCAGCTGTTTATTCACATTGGTTAGCAATTTCCGGGCAATAAAAAAATCTGTATTAAAAGAATGCAGCACATGCTGGAAAAAACGACTTCCTCAGCATCTTTCCATTTCACTGTAATGCATTGCTATAGTGAAAAATATTGCTGGTAGGGTATTTGAAAAATACCAGCTTAGGGAAGTTAGTGTATCCATTTAAACAGATGGCTATTGCTGGAGTTCTCCTCTGCTGCACCAGTGTTTTCCCATTCCCTCCAAACCATCCATTTCCAAACAGAAATCACCTAATCTTTTTCCTTACTACAGAGGCTGTAAAATGGCACCCAGTTACCCTAAAATTCCCATTTGCCTGTAGATATTTTCCAGTAAGAAACACAACCTTGGCCCCATGCACAGCGCGTCTCGCTGTTTTCTTTTGCTGCGTAAATGACAAGAACAGCTCAAATCAGTGCAGTGTGGATTATTTATGGAGTGAATTATTTATATATTTATGGGATTTTAAACTTCAAACCTTTGCTTCTTCCTCTAAAAGATGGTGACTGCTCTTCACACTCTCCCCCTTCCATGCATGATCCTGATCAGAGCAGCACAGGGTTAAATAACATTCCCTGCGAGCTATTTTTGAGAAATGAGCTGACACTGATGAAACACTGGTATCAGTAAATGCTCTGTTTTTCTCCATTTGCCCAAATTTGGGTTCATCTGGAACTCATTCCAGTGCCTTTCTCTGTGGGCAAGGCACTAAATAAAAGCAGGTGTCCCCATGCAAGAGTTAATAGTGCTGGTGCTTTGGGAATTTTATCCAGGTTATTCATCAATCACCAGCAATCATTCCTTTAGCTTCACCCCTGCCAGGAATCATTTAAAAACTCTCAGCAATTAGCTGGAATGAATTGGTCTGTTGGAATAAACAGCTCTGAAGCACCATTCTGCTGCTCACTGGGAGCTTTTTCTCCCACTGCTGGAGAGGAGGGGGTACCACCACTGCTGTAGCCCCCAGTTTCACCAGTGAAAAACTCATACTGGGGGAGGATTCCAGTGTCTCCCCACTCTCTGCTGCTTCCATGCCCAAGTGTCCCATGGGTTTGCACTTGTGTCCCCTCTGCAGCAGCACAGGACACTTCTCTGGGTTCCCTCTGCTGATTTTGGATCCTCACAGGCCATCAGGTAACG